CTGGGTTTGCTCTGAGCCAGGTGGGATTTTGGGGTGTAGATGTGGGATGTCATCAGGTGAATAATGGGAGGTGGTGTTACCTGGCACAGGCTGGCCTTGGGGAGAGATCTCTGATGGGGAGAGGGCTGGTTGGGTGAAGGCTGCAGCCTGCCTCTGAACTGGTGGACTTTCTCCTGCAGCATCAGGAGAGAGGCAGTTAATTGCGTATGCTGGTATGTGTGTTGCCCACATACATTAGGCTCGTGATTTAGTCCAAAGGAAAAAGTTTCCCAACACAGTTAAGCTTTAACAGTCTCTCTGTAAAGAAAGATAAGGAGATACTTGATTTTACTAGTTTTCCATGGCAGAGATTAATCATGTTTCAGGCAGAGAGCATTGTTCTTTGCATGGCTACACCTTCCGATCCTCTGAAATACATCCTCTACCGATGCTGTGTGTCGTGACACTGTAAATGCAAACTGGAAAAGGTTGGACTTGTTGAATGCTGAAACCATTTTAGAACTGCTTATGGTCACTGTGTGCTGATATGAAATGTGCTTCACGTGGCATGGTTATTTAAAGTGGAGGTGAAAGCATAGTCTGAACTTTGCAGTGCTTGCATAGTTTGGATGTGCGCGGCTTTTGTGTTAGTCAAAAACACTGTTAGAATTGTAGGAAAAGATGGGATTAAAATGTTGAGAGCCTCTCCAAATAAAGCATAAATGAAATATTCCACCTTAGTCACCAGCAGAAATGACTGTGGTGCTTGCATCTTGACGCTGTAAATGGGAAGAGGACTGTGGAACAGAAGACTTTGTGATCAGGGAGTGCTTTTCATGCAAATGAAGATTTTATTACACGCTGCTGAATCAGGGGCTTGTGTAGCGAGAACAGCACAGAAGTGATAAGATCACTCTGTCAGAGCTTGAAATTTTGCCCAGCATGTCTTTCAGATCGCTGAAACGGGCAAGAAACCCTCTTGTTAAGGGCACAGCAGTAACTGATAGAATATTTGGGGGCAGAGCTTTTTCTTCATGGTACAGTCTGTCTGCAGCAACCTGCCACGTGTCCACTGCCCTGATGTCAAAGCAATGAGGAACTGCAACCTGTAAGTGACCCTGCAAGGCAGCAGAGTCAAAACGCTCTGGTTCCTGATGGGATCCCAGTGCTGCTCTTGCTCAGGTGGGTACAGAATCTCCTCTGCTGCAAGCTGGGAGCCCTTAGCATTGATTAGAGCAGAGCTGTCCATCCTTTTGGCTGCCACATCCTGTGTTGCCTGTTTCCCAGTCACACCAAGTGTTTTGCCGTGGAGGGCATCCATCCAGGACCAGCTCTGTTGGTCTTCCTTTTGTATTTGTTAGCTGGTATCATCTTCCCAATGTCCTCCTTTCATGGATAGAACCGGTTTGGTTTACTGAGGGCTCTTGTTGCCAGCAGGTGAATGGATATGTGTAGTGGAATAGGCATCTAAATCTTCCCCTGCCGATGAGTAGTGTTCAGCATCCTGATGTGACCTTGGTAAAAGTTCTCTGGTGTGTTACTTTCCCTCTTTATTTATCTCTCCTCCTGTGTAGCAGCTTTCTTTACATCTGAGCTATTGGAAATCTGTCTTCTCTTCCTGTCTCCAGAGACACTGTCAGCCCAAGCTACTTAGATTGACGCCTGAATATTCTGCTTTTGCACAATCAGGAGGCATTCAGTGAAGTAGCAAGAGGAGAAAGTAGAAGATTTAGGACTGACATTTTTAGACACTTTTCAGTCCGTGATTTTGAATAGTCCTGGGGAGGAAGGACAGAGGCTTCCTTCACATGGGATGCCCCCATATGTGTGTGCTGAGCATCCATCAAAGCATATAGCACAGGGGAGAAACATGCTTAGGTGCCATCAGACTGCAGCTTGGAGCTCTTCATACTTCAAATTCTCGTCTGAAGAGTCGAGGAACAAACTGTAATCCTGCACATTCCTGGAGAGTTTCAGAGCAGCAGGATGGAACCTTTCCCCTGTTTTTTCTCATGCAAATGATGGGAAGGATTATGGAGTGTTTGAAATCTGGTTTATACTGGCTTCTGAATTTCATTTAAAATAAACATCTGGAGGGCTTTTTGATCTCCTGTGCAAGACTGTTGTCTGCCTCACTCCTTAAAATGACTTCTGCTTAATTTCTAGTGAAAGGCAAAGACCTCCATCCTTTCGGCCCAGAGGCCATTTAAATGGTTCACCTCCTGCAGTTAGGAATTTCCAGGAGCACACAGCCTATCCCACAGGTATTGTAAATCCTTGCTCCTGGGGAGCGTGGCAGTGATAGGTATCTCTTTCTCCTGTGCTGCTGTTTGGGATCTGCAGGGCTGCTACCTGTAGTGTAGCTTGTACTTCTGCAAAGCCTCATTCTCCCAGTGCTGAGCACGTATCCGAGTGGTTGCTCCATTAGAGAATAACATTCCTGTCCCTTTGCAGCTTTGAAGTCCAAAGCCCTCCTCCGGAAGATTGCCACTGTTTGCCTTCATCCCACAGTCAGATCAGTGGAGCAGCGTCCCACAGGGAGTAATCACTTAATTTATTCAAATAGCCATTACATTTGGAGTGTGTTTTCTCTTATTTCACAGGAGCTCACTCCTCTACTCTTCACTGGAGACTGAAACTGTGTGCCCATGGCGAGAGCGCTGGGTATGTGCTTCCTCTGTCTTTCTGGCTTTGAAATGGGTTCCTGTTGCTCTTTGGCAGAGCCTGAAGCAGCCGTCTGTGGAAGCGGCGTATTCAGAGCGAGAGTAACTTTACTTCTTTGTTTTCTCTCTTTATTTATGTCTGCACAGGATCAGCTGGTCCCACATTATGTGTGAAGTAGTTAAATTTTAGCCTGCATCTGTAGGATGTGATTTCTCCCCCCTCTCCTCCAGTCCCTTTGATCAAATCAAATACAAATGCAGCGCTTTCATTTCTAGTTTTGTAGTTTCAAAGACAATCTCTTGACATGCTCTAGCAGTCTGGACCCGAGCCTTTTTCTATTGCCTTAGTCCAAAGGCACACTGTGTCTTGCGCCTTCCTCTGTATCAGCAGTTGCAATCTGCATTGGCTTTTATCTGTATCAAAAGACAAATGGAAGAGAGCAAGACACTGCAGGAATGGGAAACAGACTTAACATGTGCAATGGGAGTATGTAATCCTTAGGTTCAGTTTGCCACATGGAATACAGACCAGTTTCTGCACTGGAAATCTGTAGCCTGTACTCCCAGAAACGTGAGTTTAGATTTTAGGCTTTGAAGGCTGGTTAATCCCACATAAATTTTCCTGTGATGTCAACCCTTTCCTTCTAAATACTGGTCGGGTTGGGGTTTTTTTTGCATATGTCAACTATACAAAAGCAACACAATTTGAGAAATGAGCATTCAAACACTCTGTAAGCACTTTATTTTTATCTGCTTTGTGAGCAGCTGTACACATGTCCAGGCTGGAATACACTGAGCTGCTGCTTCCCAGCAGTGAGGGAGCTCCTGGCCACACAGAACATGGAACTTTGTCCAGTATCCTGAAAAAACCACTCCATCCTGGCAAAGCTCATCTGCACATCCGCTTGACTGCATCCCAAGGGAAAGGATCCCAGCTAAGCCATGTTAAATCATACCTAGTTTCTCAGTGAGATGAGATGGTCGCTGTCATCCCGATGAAGATCCGCACTGTGTCTGATGGTGTTTGTAATGTCGCAGTACGCGGTACCTCTTCAGTGGTAGTGCTTAAAGCAAAGTGTGTTTCTCTCTGCACTAAGGAATCAGATTCAGCTATTCAAAGCAAGTTGATAAATTGCTTTTCATTAAGTGTCTGAGCGCCAAGGGGTTCGGGGTGTGTTCCAAGGAAGAAACTACATTAATTACAGCTTCTGTGGAGCATTTATCAATCACCCAGTTATAAACAGTGCTAATGCTGTTAATTGAAGGTAGAAAAATTTACCTTTTGAATTTGGTGACTATAGCAATTCCATGGTTGGAAAGACAAATTGCCTGGAAGTTAAAATCAAGCAATACTTTGGGGATTGCCTGAGTAACCGTGTCTCACGTAGTGTTCACTGGGGCTGTGCTGCCCTTTAGCGTGAGATGCTCTATGGAGGTCAGGGCTGTTACAGGCCAAGTTATCAGCAGCTCAGCATTCATGTGGGTGGGTTTGTGCTGTGTTTGCTGTTGGGCTGTGGTAGCAGCATTTGTTCTCTTCTTGCCCACACAGCCAGGTTGTGTTTTCCATGCACAGGGATGTCTCACTGACTGTAGTACACTTACAGCTGCCTCTTGTGGCCCGTCTATACAAGTTATGTATATTTGTGTGTCTGGTGTTGGTTTGTTTTGGGGTTTCTTAAGAAAAAGGCAAGTGCAGAGGAGGAAGGATGGACAGAAGCAAGCTAAAGTCTCCTGCTCACCTGTAGTCAGTCAAACTTACTGTGGGAAATAGAAGCCTTTTGTGTGTGTAAGCTTTGGATGCAGGCAATGTGTTTGCAGCATCTGAAGGAATGGGGTGAGATCCCACTGAAGTGTCTTCTCAGGTCTGCAGATAAAGATCTCTGGTGCTTGTGGTGCACAGAGGTTTTGAGAACATCTTGCACATTCGTGTTGCGTTCCCTGTGGCTGTTTTGAACTGCCAGCACTGCAGCTGGCTGGGTTTCATGCTCAGGAAAGCACTGAGTACAGCAGAGACTTTTTATAGTAGCTCACAATTAATGTATTTCTTCTGTTGAGTTGTTATGAGATGGCCTTTACATTTCTTGGCGGATTGATAAGGACACTAGGTCTGGGTTAGGATGAGCCAGGGGGGCACCAGCGCCTGGTTTGGAAGGTTGGCAGGAAAACACCATCCCAGTGTCTGGTCCAGCTGTTCGGTATTCACCTGATGGCTTGTATTTGCTGCTTGTGAGGGTTTTGTATGTGAGTTGCAGCTTCTGTTTGAGGTTCTTAGAATGCTTTTCATCTTTACAGTAGGCTGCACGATATCTCTTAAGTACAGAAGGAGGTCTTATCTTGCCCTTACAAATGGTATAATGCGTATTTAAGAGCTGGTGTGTCCAGCAGGAAGCTCTGGCACTATGCAGTTAGAGAGAGCTCTCCAGTCTTGTATCTTAAATACAAATTTGCTGTATATTTCTCCACTTGGTTTGTAAATGGGCTGTTAAAAATTCACTATAGGTGGGACCTTAATTCAGTATCCAAAGAGCTAAATACCAAACCCAAGCAAGTGTCAGTGTGATTGGACAGGTCAAAGTGGTACACACCCATAGCCAGTGCAAACCGAAATCCATCCCCTGTGAGCTGCCCGCCTGTGTTCACAGCCACCAGTGCCCCTGGCCTGCAAGTGAGTCACTTCTTACTATTTTAATTAACATGCTAGTTCAGTTTTCTGTTTTGTATGAAGCCTCATTCATTCTTACCCTATTTGCAAATAGTTCTCATTTTCAAGTGAATCTATTTTTAAAAGTGGCCTCAAAGCATGTTTTTCAGTATCTAACCAGTGTCTGGTTTGCTGTCCGTGTGTTGCGTAGAGGTGGAATTTGTTCAAAGTTAGCTCTGAAATAATATGTGTGTTTTTAATAATCAGCTTGCAATAAACAGGGGAAGGTGGCTTCTTCCCTGCTCGGGGAACTGCCATAATCTGTGACTTCTGACGATATTCTAGAAGGAAAAACTGTCATCCTGGTGTCATGTGCAGCCACAAGGATTTCTGTAAGTCATGATTAAGACTTTAATTCTGGGCTTTTACAGAGCAAGTGTGGAACGAGCGAAGATAATGGTGATCTGTGCAAAGCAGCCACTAGAGAGGGAGCTATGTCATGTTTCCTTTCCCCTTTGCCTAGCCTGCTGTTTGCTGCACCTAACAACAGTTTCCTTTTCAGATCTGAGAAGGCGAGAAAGTTGAGAGGGAGGAATTATGGCTGAGAGCAGCATGAGGAAGCTCCCAGCTCTTGAACGTCCTTTGTGGCAAAGTAAAGCCCAGAATTACATCCTCGTGCTTCTCCCGGACATCGAACACGTAGGAAAGCTGCACGTAACGCCAGTGTGGTGCAGGCTCTTGCTAAGGATGTTGAGGTTACAACTGCAACCTCTCTGCTATGGGAAAGGGGTCAATGGGTATTCTGGTTTCTTATCACTTGAAGGCAGAAGGAAGTTGGATATGAGGATGGAGAATGTCTGTTGGTGGGAATGTGTGATGCCTCCACTGGGGTGTGTGTTAGCAGCATCCTGTAGTTTGGTAGGTGCCGGGCTGTGCTGGGTTGGATGGAAGTCATCGCAGCTAACCTTAGTGCCATGTGAAAACATGCACACTCGTATCTGTAAGTCTGTTTTGTGTTTTGTAGTAGCTGCTGTGATATTATAGATGGTGCTGGAGCATAGAGGAAGAAGTTGGGTTTAGTTTGCTCAAAGGATAATGGATGCTTTGGAGGAAGGAATGTTTGTTTGCACCTCTCAGTACCTCGTTGCAGAAAACGGTATCTTCTGTGAACCTTAAGTGATGGGTAGGGAATCTGTTTTGCATTTTGAAAACACAAATGTAAAGCTAATACCCTGGGCATGTTATGATTTTGATGGCAATGCTGTATCTACCTCTTAACTGCTGTAGTTCAAGTGTAGCATCCTTTGCTCCATCTCCTAAACAGCCATGCAGAATTATGTACTGTGAAATGCAACTAAGATACGTCCCAGACTATTTCTTCATCCCTTTTTCCCACCAGTACAACATTAAAACCTTGGAAGTTACCATATAAAAGGAGAAAGAAAATTAAAGGTCAGAGTGCTTTAGTGTAGTAAAAATTCAGAGGAGGCAGATACAAAGCTATTCAAATCACTTCTGACTTCAGGCAGGTGGATTTTCCTATTTCTTGCATATGTTCCCATGGTAAAAGTAGTATCTCATCTGTCTCATAGCTGACCACTAGCATATGTGTTTCAAGCACAGCCAGAAAATACTCCTTTGAAGCTTTGGCCAGGCCCTGCAATCGTCCTGACTTGTCTTTTCTACATCTTTCCTTCACCTGTAGAAGCAGCCTGCAACACCTGGCAAGACCTACTTAGCGCCTGTGTTGTCTGTCATCTCCTGCCATGCTGCAGAATACAGAGTTAAATCTAAAAATAGGCTTAAAAAGAGGTGAGGGCTTTGAGCAAAGTAAAGTAAGCCACTGATTTGGGTCATGAAAGGGAATTGATGCCACTGGTTCTCTGTCGCAGCTTTCTTGAGCGAAGCAGATCTGTTCGGAGCTGTGAAAACGCAGAGGAGCCATAGTGAGCAAATGGCACTCAGGGCAGGGAGGGGTGGTTTGCTTCAGTTCTCCCCAGGAGACTGCCTGGAACATGACTTTGTAAGCCTGACGTGAGAAGCCAAGGTGCTATTGAATGCTCCACAAGTTCATTTATCTTCATGGTCTTCTTCTGAGGCAGAAAACTGTCACTCACTGCTGTCCTTTTAACAAGGAGCGACCGTGGCATCAGGTGATTAAATGCTTCATCCCAAACTATGTCAGGAACCTGTGGTGAGCTGGACACATCCCTCAATCTCTTCTGTCACAGACTAGCCCATAATCAGGAAACCAGTCTTCTAACATAAATCTGGTCCAAAATAACCTTAAGCCCCTGTAAAAGGAGTTACGTGCAATTCCTGCCTGTCTCAGTGATTATGTGGCTTCGGTAATGTTTGTTAAGTGCTTTGATATGCTTTGGTGAAGGGCAGAGTGTTAATAATTAAAACTGGAAGGAAGTTCTAAAGCAGTATGTGGAGATGACGACTGCTTTCTGGTCTGTTAGTTAACAAAAATGCAAAACATAAACGCACAAATCAGCAGGAATTCAGTTTAACGCTCCCTTCCCCCAGCCACCTGCATGGGCTGAGGAGAGAAAGCAGCTAATTGTCTGCTCTGCTGAGGAGATGAAAGAAGCTGGTCCTACGACAGGAAAGGCTATTGAACTGCATGAAGGTGGTAAATTATCAGCACTGAAAACCGAGTTGGTGTCTTTATGTGCTCGAAAAGCACGTTATTTGTACTGCTCTTGGCAGCGCCGGGGAGCTGATGAAACCAGCATCTCGTGACGTGAATCTTATGTTTCAGGCCATGTAATTAAAGAGGTCAGTAAAACTGAAACTTGTTTCTGAAGCTTTGGGGAGCCTCACAGGGTGTGTTTGGTGAGGATGGGCCCTCTTAATGGCTTTGTCTTGGCCCAGTTAAAGAGCTGTTTGCAGAACTGCTGTGATTTGCTGTAAAAGCAGCCTCGTGTTTGTCCATTTTACTGCTAGCAGTTCCATTTGCAGAGTGCAGGCAGGAGCAGGCTGCTTGCCAGCAACAGCTTCATTCAGATTAGGGCTTTAGTTCAATTATGTCCAATTAACTTTTATTGCAGATAGCAGTGATAATTACTTGCGAGTCAGTTTTTTGGCTGTGGTTATCCCAAGGCTAAAGTCTGAGCTTGATGGATTTTAATAACTGAAGTGACGTATCGCTCTTCCTCTTTTTCCCTTCTTCTTTAGGCCTCAATTAGATGAAAGGTCAGAAGCTATGTAAAAACCCATCTTACAGTTCAAGCCAACTGTTCTCCTCTTCAGCAGATGCGTAGGACTGTGTTTTAAAACAATCTCTTGGGACTGACCTAAAAAAAACCCCAGGCTTTTTAAACTCTTAAGATCATAACCTTGAGCTTGCTGCAGCTTTATCCAAAGAGGGAATTTGATGGAGCTGATGCCACACGTGGCAGTACCTGGAGCCGGGAGCCACCACCTCGGCTTTTGTTACTGCACAACATCCTGTTCAAAATTGCTCACCTAGAAGCCTTTAGTGGAAGCCCTTGGGCATGAGGAGTGTGATATGAACAATATTCCATTTTAAGTGCTGTTGCCCCAAAGCTGCTTCATTTCTTTCCTTGTTGAGCACTGGCATCGCAGCTTGGGGAGAGGAGCAGAGCTGCAGCAGGAGCACCCCACAGACATTTAAATTCCCTCTGCCTTCCCCTCCAAACTGTTTAATTTTGTTGCCTGACTAACGTTATAAATGGAGGTCAGCCTGAAAGCTGAAATGGTTTACAAGCAAAATCATAGTTAATTAAACTGCAAGGAGCCAAAATTGATTTTGATGGAAACTCTAGCAAAGGTCCATCTGAATGCAGGAAGCCAAGAGGTCCTGTGCTGGCAGATGCTGACAGTGCATTCTGCTTGTCACAGAAGGCGACTTTCTATTGTTCACTCTTCCTATTTATTTCTCCCCAAGTACACTCGATGCTATTGTGATTTATTGCCAGCTCAAAAGACTACCTCTCTGCACATTATTTTGCAGTTTTCCATTTATAAAACATTAAAGAGGATGTGATACCAGCCTGTGATGAATACAGGGCTAGTCTGGTAATTTTGTTCCAGGAAACAGTAAGATTTATCTCTGGCTTTTCAGCAATCCTGGGAAAGGGCCATGCTGGGAACTGCCCATGAATAAAGGGGGAGTTTCAAGGCAGGAAGCCTGTGGGATCTGTCCGTTGAGGCATGGCTGACTGGAAGGAGTCATATCGAACTCTGAGGTTGGCCATGAGGGTTCAGCATGTGCAGGTCACACAAACAACTTCTTGAACCCCTTAGATTTTAGGTTACTTCAGGGGAGGAATGAGTCTCATTTGGTTTTGAGCAGCCTGCCAGGGGGTAAATGAGACACTGAGTTTCCCTTGGAGCATGAAAATTGGCCAGGATTCAATTATGTTTCCTGGCAAGCTCTAACAGACATTTGTACCAAAGCAGCTTCACAACCGGAGTTAGTTTTGGTTTTTGTTTGCAGCATTTATGTTATGCTGAACTTGGAACGTGCCACATGCACTGTAAATCCCGCTGGCTGTTATGGAACTTCATGGAACTACCTTGGGAATAAGAAGAGGTGAAGTGTATCAACCAGCTCCAAGTGCTTAACAACCCTCACATGGCTTATGGGACCCCAGGGTGCTGGAAACTTGGAATAGTTTGGAGCTTTGCTTTTGTGTGGAGGTGGCTGCTCCTGCTTCCTGCCGGCCCCAGGCTTTGTCAACAATTCCTGCAGTTAATCGTGGAATTTCAAACATGCATGTTTACGTTCAGGGCCTAACTTTAGACTCCAGCAGCTTGCTTTCGTCTCAACCAGCTCAGCTTCCCATATTTCACCGGCCCAGGGTGGGTTTCCTTTGTGTGCTTACCCTGTAAGGCCTCTTGGGAGCTTCGGAGACTGGCGTAGCTAAAACTTGGCAATAGCTCTGCATATGTGGTCTGTTTATACAGTGATAAAGCTGTGTTAGAAGTTTCCTAAGAGTACCACTTTGCTCTACACCTAGGCTTTACTCTAGCTTGTAAAAGTACCCCCTGGCCTGGGGAGCAGTGGCTCTGGCAGAAGCCATGCTAAACATGGAATATCAGGCATAAAAGAATATGTCTTTTTAGTCCAGAAAAGCAATATCATGGTAAGTTTTACTGTAATTGATTCTTAGCTCTACAGGGAGGGTGTCCCTGGGCAATGGGTGGAGGTGAGTTCTTTGTCCTGCCTGGTGAACATTGGTGGTGATAGGACTTACTCTGAAAACCAGTGCATGGGACATTGCTGCCTGGACCCTAATGAGCAGGTAAGGCTGGACGTAACAGCCATGGTGGGGAAGTGAGAGTGACCCCCAAATCCCAAGCACTGCATGTCCCTCTTAAGCTTAACATGCTTTGATTTGATGATTAATAGATCTTAGAAGGAAAAAAACCAACCCTGTTCATGTGTCTAAACCTGCTAACTATGTCATAGAGCATCCTGCAGTACGTGAGCTGTTAAAATTCTATCCTGCAGCCAAATTAGATTAAAATCACTTCAAAGCAGGGTATTTATTTATTTATTCCATCTAATGATTGTTTCCTCCAGAAATCTACTTTATATATATTTTCAAGACAGAGCTCGTTGAGCTGTGTTTGGCAGCATACACAATCAGTTTAAAATACAATTTGAGGACTTTAAAGGTAAGGGTTTCACAGCTGCCACATTTTGCTGGGTGCCAAAGCCTACTGGTCTTGCTTTCCAGTTTGCAGCTGACTGGTTTACTGAGCCTGGTACAGTGCAAAACCCCCTTGGTTCCTAATTCCTTACATCCATTCCAGTTCCCCCAGTAACATCCACCCATCCTTGGAGGGACTGGGGCAGCTTTGCAGGTGCTGATGCCCACACAAGTTGCTGCTGTGAAGCCAGGTTTGCTAGTGAGAGGTCTTGATGTGCCAAGTTCAGTTTATCTCCTACTCTGGACTAATTAGGAGCAATAAAGCCAAGCGCAGGAGGGGGTGATGGGCCAAGCTGCCTTCATGTGAAGACCCCTGTTGACCTGAGACTGTGAGTATCAACTGTTTGAGATGACCATTGGTGCTCACCTCAATCCCAAACATGATGGGGGGATTTCAGTTCATGTTATCTGCATGGTATGTTGGAGTTGTCTGTGTTAGCTCGTGCTGAAGAAGAGTCAGTGAGAAAGGAGCGATCAGGTGCTGAGTATCTCAAAGGGAATATATGTCAAATAATTTCCTACCAAAAAAAACCTGAATGGGCTTGTTTGTGAAGATACTTCAAATACTGAGATCTTGATTTTGAAAAACATTAATTTCATAGAGAACAGAAATCGGAGCAGGGTTTTAATTACAGGATTCAGTGATGGAGTGAAGGTCAGCACTTCTATAGCAGTCTGGATTTCTGTTTTTAATGCTTAGCAGTGACCTAGGTGGCATTGATTTGCCTATTGCAAATCAAGCTAAAAGGATGATGTTACGCTTCTACTTAAAGTTATAAGTCTAGTATTGTCTTTTAAATTATTATTGCCACCCCAGTCCTTATGGAGCTTTGGTATCACCTAAAATGATTATCTGCCTGCAGGAACAACTTGCCTTTATAACCCTCTCTAAAACATTATTGTCTGTATTAGAGCTAAAGCTCCTATAAATACATGTTTTGACCTTCAAGGAAATACTTGTCTCTTATCACAGAAGCCCAGCTCTTCTGAGTTGAATTCTGTGGCCACTCTTTAATCACTTGTTCTCTCTCCTAATGTGCTATTACTGTGTTTATTGCTGTGTCTGTGGCGCTGAGCCTCTCAGCAAGAGGCTTACTCCAAGAGCCACAGTGTTGAGGCTGTAATGAGCCTTAATGACGGAGCAGGTGAGCAAACCCACCACGGATCTTGCTGTCAGAAATGCTGCTTGTTCAGTCAAAGAGCACGTTGAGTGCAGTGCTGTTTCCCTCTGTTGGGGCTGTACGCAAACTTGTCACCAGTGAAGTAATGTAGACACCGAGCTGCTTTGGTTGTGCAGGGATGGGAAGTAATCCTGGCCTGGCATCAGGCGTTACTGGAGGAAAAGGTAGATGTTTAGGTGAGTATGAATATTAGGTGAGTATTAGAGAATGGTGTGACCTGATGGTTTTCTGACTCCAGGGAAAGCTCTTAATTGTTTGTCTGCTTTTCACTGAGAAATAGGTCTTGTTTTTGCCAGTCTTCTGAAGTTGATGAAATGAAGCAAAAAGGAAAACACGGTGACTCTTTTTTCTTGCTGACTGTGAGTGTTTCTGTTGCCTACTCAGGTAAAGCTCTGGCAACATGCAGGGCTTTTGTCTTCTGATTAAAAAGGAGCTGGCTTCTCGTTTTGTCTTTCTGGTCATGCTGGGCATGATCTGGGACAAGCTGCTGCCCACTGGCTGTTTGCAGAGTTTCACTGAACACTGCATACTTAGAGTGGTGAATGAATCTCATCTGTAAAGGCTGACCAACTTTTCAATTCCTAAAGCGATTCCTTCAAGTTGTGGATGTGACAGGTCTTCAGTCATCGTTTCTGAGCACCTTCTGAAAGACCCCAAGAACTCCACCTCCTACAGAGGATGAAAAGAAAACCTGGGTTTAGATTTATCTTACAAGGTTTTACAGCTACATATCTTCAAGTTGTGGTAGTGGAGATGGTTACTATCCCATAGGAATGAAATGGAGAATGATGTAAACATGTTGGTGGTTGAGCTGTCAACCCTGCAGCTTGCTGAGGTTGTGTGTTTGTTTCTCACAGCCCTGAGTCACTGTTACTCTGAGTGGGAAGGGTGAATGGGCAATAGCTTGGAGTTGTCAAGCTGACGTTCAGTGCCCAAACCTATTTTTAATTGTTAGTCTCAGTGGCACCCGGCGGGCTCACTTAGCAACACTCAGCTTTGGAGAGCTCTCACACAGGGAAGATGCACAAGTTCTCATAAATTAATGTTTGTGTGAGGTTTTGTTGGCCATTGGTTTAATCAGCCTTTGCATGTTGAACCAAGGACGTAAACATGGAGCTAATGAATTCTACACAGAGGGTAATTGCTGTGCTACAGGAAAGCTTTAAGCCCGTGCTGTTTGCTGCACTGCTGCAAGTGTTCCTTGGGTGGTCTGAGGTTGAGTTTCAAATTAAAGTCATTAAAACATCCCTGTAGAGAAGTCTGATTCTGGAGCTTTCTGGAGCATGAAGGTGGTGGGGCTTGTCCAGGACACAGCATGGACTTTGCCTCGTCAGGTGTCATCTGAAGGGTTTATGTTCTTTGTGTGAGCAGTGTGACTCAGAAGTGGCCTCTGTGGCTTCTCACACTAGTCTGGAGCTTTCTGTTTCTCATCTTTTGGCCTCCCCAGCTGCTTGAATTGGGGTCTATGAAACTGACTGCAATTAAATCAGCCTGTGACTTTTGAAGCTTTCAACTCTTGCTGTGTCTTGGGGGTCATAGAACAAACCCCAAGGCCTTTCTAGCTGTTCCTCAGGTGTTCTGGCAAAAGTACCCCCTTTAGAGCAGCACCAGTGCTGTGGCACAGAAGGGAAGTCAATTGATTTCTCCAGTTTGGCTCAGCCACCCTGTTTCCCAAAGCTGTCTAAAGTGCTTGTGGCTGGCTGTGGCTTGTCCCTGTGGCTGTGGCAGAGGGTTCTGGACCAGGAGGCCTCTTGAGACCTTGTTCCACCTTAAATATCTCTCCATAATACTAGCTGGGAGTCTTTGAGCCTCAGTGAGGTTTGTTGAGAGACGCCCCCCCTCTTTGTACACCAATGATGGGATATGAGGACAGCCGTGCAGTGTTTATATGTTAAAGAGCTTTAGTGCTCTGTGCATTTGTTTTGAGGTTTGATTTCCTAAATGCTGACCCTCTGCAGCGGAGGCTGGTGGCACCTCTGCAGCTGCTTTGTGCAGGAGGCACGTCTGGCTGTTTGTCTAACCCAGGTTAGCGAGTCTCCTATGAAATGAAGGAAGTTGTAGCCATCCATCTTCCAGCCTAATGGACCACAGAAATTACAAGCTGTAGCATGCAGCTTAATCTTGCCACGAGGCAGAGTGCTGCATACTTTGCCTTCAATTTATGCATGCCGTGCCTTTTTATTAAATGTAAAAGAGCAGTTGACAGGATATCTCCAGAGGACTTGCTTTGGCTACGCTTGGTAGATAGCCAGCACATTTCAATACAGTGCAAATGAGTCATGGTGGTTTCTGTACCGTTCGTTAACAGCCACCTTTGAAATCTGAGGATGGAGTTATGGGTTATCCTCTGTGTGTCAAGCAGCAGAGGAGAGTGAGACAGCTATTTTAGTTATAACCCTGCAGGTGACCCACTTCTTGAAGCATGGCTGTTGCCGTTACGAGATGCAGGAAGGACTGGAGCGGCAGTTGCGCATCTGTGCTTGGTCAGACCTTCACCCAGGGATGGCTCTTTGCCGCTTTCTTTTCTCTGTTCCTCCTTGTATTATAACTTTGAATTGTCTCTCTGTTGTTGCAGTGTGCAGAGGAGTGAATGCCCCATGTTGTGTTAGTGCCTGTCTGCCATGCTGGCCTGTCTGCCAGGACCAGGTGACCTCTCCTTTCAGCTTCTTTCTTACACGCAGATGAACACTGGACTTCAGAAATGTGAGTGACGTTTTGTCTGCAGGATGTGGTTAACTGTTAAATCTGGCTCTGGTACAGCTCTGACATAAACATTTAGGGTACAGTGGAAAAACTGTTTAATGTTAGAGTCTTTCTTTTGTTATGCCTTCAAGGCATCCATCAATAATGGCTCTGAGAAATGGCTGTGGAGGTGCAGCAAACTCTCCCCCCCTGACTTTCCTGGCTTTATAAAGGTTAATTTTAACCAAAGCAAGATGAAATGCAAGTGAGGTTTCTGTGAGATTCGTGCCTCGTTGCTGAAAACATTCTGTGCTAAAAGTGTGCCAGCTGACTTGCTTCTTCACACAACTTTTTCCTGACTCTTTTTCACTTCCAGTCGTTTAATTACTCCTAGAAACCAATAAAAGTCGGATCAGGCTAATGCAAACCTTTTGAGGTCAGCAGTTCTGTTGTTCTACATACCTGGGGCATATACTGCAAATATTAGTGATCTAGCCCAAATTACTAATGTTCAAAGTTTCCATCTTCTTTCTGACATCTCTTTGGTGCCTCTGAAAAGATGTCTGCAGAGTTCTCTGAGAATCCTTTTTTTGATACCTCCAGTCATTTTTTTTTATGATTATAGTAGTGTTTTTTAGAGCAACTTATGCTTGGGAATGTCAGGTCACTGGCTAGAGATTTGTGTTAAATCTTACTGTCTCTCCTCTTTTGCATATTGATTGTTCAGCTGAAATAGCAGAAATACCAAGGTTTCTACATAAGATCTGTGTACTTGGCTCTTAGGGCTGTGACCTGGCTGTCCTGTTTGGTATGTACATTGGGAGATCTCTGTACCCTCAGTTTGCTGATGGACTCATTGCTCTTTAAAACCCAAGCAGTTTACAGTCCTGTTGTAGCTAAAATGTTAGTATTTTAAGGCTTGTGATGAAAATAGATAATTTTGCAATTAAGGTGCCATGCTCAAAGTCCTGATCCTGCCAGAAGTGAATGACACTGTTCATGTACACGTGTGCCCCCCCTCAGCACTTGCATAGCATTTATGCCAACTCCACAGGCTTGGTAACTGTAATGACACTTCCAGCAATAGTAAAAATCTTTACTCACAAAAGGACTTCCTTAGGTGGCATGAAACTGGGCACCTCTCCTTTCTCTTTCCCGTTTCCAGTTCAAGCTTTGCTGACTGATGTCTGTTCAAAAGGTAGGCTGTTGTGGTGGAAAAGTGCCGAGGTCCTTGCATCACATGAAGTTTCTTTTGGTGGATCAGAAAGCTTAGTTCTGAAAGCAAATTGTTGAGGTTCATGTGAGGGTAGCTGTGCATAAATCAGGTATTTGCTAATTACACCTTTACAAGGCAGCATGCTGATACGTGGGCAGTTTCTTAACCTGATGGTACCTGATGCTGTTTGTGAGAACTGCTTATCCCTGTGCTGAAAGCATCTCTGTATCCTGCTTGGGGAAGAGCTCCAGGTACTGTATTTGAAAGAATTGAGGACATAAAGTAGCTGGCAGGCAGTGGGAATGCTCAGCTGTTCCAGTTTGTTCTGGTTTGTATGGAAAATGAAACTGCTTTTACAGACCTTGCTCACCCCTGCTGCAGATGTGTGTAAGATTAATTGGTGCATTTCTCTCCATACTGTATATGCACAAGCAGTCTAGCCCCTGGCCAAAGCAGAGCTGACTTAATGAGCATTTTTAATGAACAGTGACTTGTGACTTTGGGGGGTTGGAAGTGGGCTTTAATAATAATGCTATTGCCTTTATGAAAGGCACAGAACTCCACATGATAACCATTATTCAGATTTACAGTGTTTGTATTCATAATTTTTAAGTGTAGTTTTCCGGATTAGACTTTTTATTCGTGCTTCAAAATCCACATTAGCTCAATTAGCTTTTTTTTGCTCCTCACTTTCAAATAAGAGGCTTTTTTCTTAAAGCTGGTCTGTGCAGTAGGAGTTTTGAAGATTACTATGCACATATTTTTTCCTTTCAAACTGATCACTACAGGACTTGCAACTCCAGTGCTTTGCTTTGAATTCCAGCCTGCATCACAGGAAAGGCTCCCCCTGAAATTCATCCTTATCCACACAGGGGATTTCTCAGTGACTCCAGTAGAAACCTGACCAGTCAGTCAGGATACTCAAGACTGTTTGGGCAGTTTCTGCAGCTGCTGTCGGATATAGAAGCATGATGCAAGGCCTGAGTAAGAAAGGGTGGGTTTTACAACAGTGCTGTAAAATCAAGGTGAAAGGTGCTTCTTGGAGTGCTCTTGCTGAGGGGGATGGGATGGATGGGTGGGTGGGTGGATGGATGGATGGATGGATGGATGGATGGAAGGAAGGATGGGTGGATGGAAGGATGGATGGATGGATGGAAGGAAGGAAGGATGGAAGAGAAAAGAGCAGACTGGCACTGAATCTGGGGTCATCACCAAAATGGAGTCCTTTCTGGGGGTGAGATCTCTTTCTGTAAAACCTGTAGCAACTGAGGTATTTATGCAGAAGATGGGCACAGCGGGTTTTGGCTCATCCAAGTGCGGATGCTCTCCTTAGGGTAGGGATCCTGAAAGCCTGTTTGTATGTTGTTTAATGTTAATGAAGATTTAACCACAGGCACTTTTAAAAGCAGTGGGGTTTAAAGCCTTCTTGTGAAATGCACTTAAAAGACGTAACATTGGTGCTGAGGTGAGGCAGAGAAATCTCATTTCATGATAAAAATAGCTCCAGCGGTGAGAGGCGCACAGGGCTGTGACCAGATGAGTTGGTTGCCACGGGATTAGCAGGAGTGTGAACTTGCAGCTCACCAATTTACTGGGGTAATTGCTCACATACACAGCTTTCCCTTACAGTACACATGAAATAATTACTTTCCAACAAAAGCATTCTGCCTGGCATTTACCATTAGGTAGCTTTGTGGAGCTCATCCCTTTGTTTTCCTAATGTAGTTCCTTATCTGCCATCCACCTCATCATTTTATGGCCTGAATTCTTGCACAGAAATGATGAGCATATTCTAATACCAGCATTTCAGTTTGGTCTGTTCTACCTGGTTTTCCATTCACTTAGTTACCAGACCTACTTGATTTTTACTGGTTTGTAGGGTATTTGTAGGGGAAACTCAGACTCTTGCTCAGCCCATAATGCCTTTCTCCTAATTTTTTACTGTCTTAATTATTACAGTCTTTGAATCTTGCCTATGGAACTACTAGCAAAGCACATTTTAAGCAGCACTTTGGGGCACTCAGAAATACATCACCTTCAGGCCTGAGTAGAATGACTTGAGTTAGTTCATAGTAAAAGGAGCATAATCTCAGCTATACGCAAAACGGGTGCTGTTTGAAGTGATGAATGGGATTTAAAAGATGGGTTGCTGTTTGGTAGTATGCCAGACTGGATGCTAGTGCGTCATTTAAGTTTAACTGAGGGGTTATTTTCTCTCATCAGAGGAAGGAGCAGTTCCAGATTTGGGATTACAGATGTGTTGCAACTGATAGCTGCAGCCTGCAATGTTTTAGCTGCTTTCTAAAAGCTTCCATCGTAGTTTGTATAACAGAATAGTCCTTAAGTAAAGGAATATTTCATGTATTGTTTATTATTTTCCACCTCATTTGATAATATGCCTATAGAAATGTAAGCCAGGCTGAGAAATTTTGGTGGTGAAGGTGTCCTAATGTAGCTGCTTAATTTTTCATCTGAAAATAAAAGCTTTATGTGACAGTGCCGCGAGCATAACATGAACCATTACACAGACAAACGTGGGCTCCTTTGTCTGCTGTCAGTGATTCTCCTCTGATGGTGAGTTGCAAGGGTCATCTCTTGGGGAAGAAACAGAACTTTATGAGCATGGACAGTGCTAAGAATGAAAGGTTGGAGGTTCATGAAGGCTTTGCCTTTGAGGGAAGGGAAATGCCATTCCGAAGCTCTCCTCTCCACTGGGAGCTCACTCAAAAGGATAGATATAAACCACCTGCCTGCAGCGACAGGTACAGGGATATGAACAGAGGGGACCTTCAGGTTGATATCAAATGAGCATTTCCTTTGATGAAGAGAAAGGGTGGTGAATGCTGGTGTTTGGACAGCACAGGCAGTACGAATACATACAACTAGCACTGTGGTACGTGCTGTGCTAGAGCTGCAGGACAACCTGCTTGCAAAGCTGCTTATGTCACAAAAGACACTTTTAACATCTCTATAATTATCCTTTCTTTGGGTATCCATTTTCTGACCTTTAACTTTCTGAAAGTGAGTGCTCTTAGAGCAGCGCTGCTCTCCCTCACCTGTGATGACTGGAAGCTGGAGGATGCACAGAGAAATGCCTGGTGCTCATGTATTCACAAGTCTTCTGGAGGCAATCATTTAAGAGAAGCAGAGGTCGAATGGCCCAGCTCTGCTTTGGAATATGATTATAGCAAGAGAGGCACAAGCATTTCCCTGCATGTCTAAAGTTCTTTCCAGAAGCAGTTGGAGCTTGTGGGTAAGGTAGGTATCAGCTAAACCAGAGTAACCCCACACCCCTCCCCTCACAAGTCTTTTGTCTATGTCTGGGCAGTAGCATATCTTTAATCTTGTGAGGATATCACGTGAGTCAGATTGCTGTGTGATATGAGGATGCTGTCCTTAGCAAGGTGCCATGCTGAAGAAATAATTGCAAGCCATAAGATAATGCATGTGGAGCCTCTTTCCATTTGCTGAACTTGGGCTGACAAGGGCTTCCTAATGGAGAAAAAGACACTCAAAGTGCTTTCAGATGTCAGCATCTAAAAAAGACTTCAGGTGTAAATGGAGACTTGAGCTGAAGGGCTTCAGATGTGTGCTGGGCTTCCATGACAAGGTTTTGGTAGCGGATGGGGGGGCTGCAGGGATACCTTCTGTGAGAAGCTTCCTCTGTGCCTGATGGAAATGAGAGGAACCTGCTGCTGGGCAAGGCCAAGCCCATCAGTGGTGGTGGCAGGACCTCTGGGATAATGTATTTAAGAAGAGGGGAGGGAAACTGCAGAACTGCAGCCAGAGAGGGGTGAGAATATGTGAGTTTAACAGCTCTGCAGACACTGAGGTCAGTGCAGAAGGAGGGAGAAGATGCTCCTGGCACCAGAGCAGAGGTTCCCCTAAAGCCCATGGTGAGGACTATGGTGAGACAGGCAAGAGCAGAGATCCACCTGCAGCCCTTGGAGGACTCAACACCAGGCAGGGGGATGCCCAAAGGGACCCTGTGGGAAGCCCATGCTGGAGCAGGTTTTGCTGCAGCACTTGTGTCCCCATGGGGGACACAACGCTGGAACAGTGTGTTATGGAGGGACTGCACCCCAAGGAAGGGACAACGCTGGAGCAGTTCATGGAGAGCTGCAGCCTGTAGGACTGACTCCTGTTGGAGAAGGTCATGGAGGACTGTGTCCCATGGGAAGGGATTCCAATGCTGGAGCAATGGGGGAGTGTGAGGAATCCTCCCCTGAGGAGGAAGGAGCAGCAAGACAGCGTGCGATGAACTGACCACAACCCCAGTTCCCCTGCACCACTGGGTGGGAGGAGGTAGAGAGAACCAGGAGTGAAGTTGAGCCTGGACCAAGGGGGGAAGATTTAGTTTTTATTTCTCATTTTCCTACTCTGATTTGATTGGTAATAAACCAGTTTGCCCAAGTCGAGTCCGGTTTGCCTGTGCTGGTCACTGCTGAGTGATCCCTCCCTGTCCTTGCCTCAACCCAGGAGCCTTTCATTCTATTTTCTCTCCCCTGTCCATCTGAGGAGGTGAATGATGGAGCAGCTTTGGTGGGCACCTTGAGTCCAGCCAGAGCCAGCCCACCACAGTAGGGTTCCCACCTCAGCATTATATGGGTTTAATGTTTAATTCATAACTTCCTGATTTTCAATTACATGGTAAAGATACCGAGCATGGCTTGAAGAGCCATGGGGGAGGCAGCCTTAAATTAAGAAACCAGAAAGTAGGCCACTACCACAAGCTGTAAGAAGTGTTTCAGGCTGGAGACAACCCAATGTTCATAGCACGTTACCTGTTTTTGTCCAACTATAAGCATACTCTGATGAAAACAGTTTTTGTTTTGCTCCCATAGGCAGGTCTTGCCTTAAGCTGAACTGGGGCTTGTGTTGGTCACCAGGTAATAAAGGGAATGCAGCATCTGGTACGTGACCCACTGGTCTGGGAAGATGAGGTTCTTGCCTCTTGGTTCCTTGGAGACTTTCTCCTCTTGTTGTGCAACTGTCTTGCCCTGGGCTTGATGCTTTGATTGCCAGGATCGGTATTGATGGTTTTCCTTTTCTCCACAGGGGACACTACACAGAAAATGAGATCTGCACAGTATCCTACCCCAGCAGAATTGGATGCTTATGCTAAGAAGGTCGCCAACAACCCACTGACTATAAAAATCTTTCCAAACAGTGTCAAGGTTCCCCAGAGGAAACACATACGCCGTACTGTGAACGGACTTGATACTTCGGGCCAGAGGTACAGTCCTTACCCATCTCAGGCCAGCACCAAAACAGGCCTCCTGGCGATAGTCAAACCTCCAGCAAAAGGAATTATCAAAGACTTTGACGGGACACGCACGCGTCTGCTGCCGGAAGCGATGATGAATCCCCCTTCCACCCCTTACGTTGCACCTAGCACTTTAACCCACCCCCAGGCGCTTGCTCGCCAGCAGGCTCTCCAGCATGCACAGACTCTGCAGCACCCCCAGACTATCCCGCAGCCACAGACTTTGCAGCACCCTCAGGGTATACCCCAGCCACAAAGCTTACCGCACCCTCAGGGGATCCCGCAGCCGCACCCTCCCAACATGCAGCAGCCTCAGGGCTTGCAGCATCCTCAGACCATGGCACACCAGACTCTGCAGCACCCCCCAAATCCTTTGCTGCAGCCGGGTTTACATGGAAGCAGAAAGATGCCGGATGCAGACGCGCCGCCGAATGTGACCGTGTCTACCTCAACCATTCCCCTCTCTATGGCTGCCACCCTGCAGCAGAACCAGCCACCGGACCTGAGCAGCATTGTGCACCAGATTAACCAGTTCTGCCAGGCCAGAGCTGGCATTAGCACTACCTCAGTGTGTGAGGGACAGATTGCAAACCCCAGCCCTATAAGTCGCAACCTGCTTATCAATGCAAGTACCAGGGTATCTACTCACAATGTCCCTACACCCATGCCTTCCTGTGTAGTTAACCCTGTAGATCATGCTGCTGCTGCTATTCCTCCTGCCTCTGTTAATGTGCCCATGGTGAATATTAACAGGGTGCCGCCCGCGTACCAGAACGAAATCAAATCGGTTGCGTGGAACCAGCACCAGCTTGCACATCTGCAGCAAATGTGTGGGGATGCTGCTGGGCCTGCTGGACTCACTGGGAAGCACCCTCAGAGAGAGATCACCGGGCAGAGCTTCCCTGTCAAAACTTCCAACTACCCTCAAGAACTGTGCATGGGCCAGTCCTTCAGCTTGAAGCCCCCCATCGAGAAGCCTACACCTTCTCCACCTGTGAACGGGTTGCAGGGACCCTTGCCATATACCAATGGGCACTATTTCCAGCCCATCTGGAATAACATTCTGCCCACACCCAACAGTGACAGCTCTGGGTCCCAGGACCTCGCCATGCCTTTCCACGGGGGACAGCCAGCAGGAGCACCGCTAGATTGTGCAGGAGGAACTCATTACAGAGCTGGAGCTGGCCCATCCAGCCAGAATAATGTGATGCAGACCATGGATTACCTAAGTGGGGACTTCCAGCAGTCCTGCTTCAGAGATCAGAGCATGGCCGTGCTGGGAAAAGTCCATCGGCCTCCCATGAACCGAGCACCTGAACCAACCGATAGTCGAAATCTTCATATTCAACACCCAGGGTATAGATAGGCTGCAGTCACTTTCACAGACAAAAGAAAACCATAGAGGTTTAGTCTTAATTTTAATTAATAAGCAAGGCATTTTTAACTTGCAAACTTGCGTGATCATTATAGTAACCATCAGAAGACGACATACTGTATATTTAAAAGCTTTGCTTACGTGTTACCTATCTCCTTTCTGTATCAGATACTTAACATGCCTTTTGTGTCAGAGGATTTCATTACACTACTTCACACCACAGCCCTTTCCTCACCGTAGAACCCCCTTCTGTGCAGTTTCTGCTTAGCAGCTCCTTGCTGCACTGATGTCGAGTTGCTGCAGGGTTTTGCCAGCTCCATCAAGAGCAAGGTAGCGTAGCTGCTTAAATTTCCATCTCCATTTCCTCTGAAGATTAAGAGCAAGAGGATTTGTCAGGAAGCAGGGCTTATTTTCAGCCGAAAGCCCGTTTCATTAATGCATTAAACATTGACCATTTGCACTGTCTAAAGGCCTGTTTAATTGAAAAAGAAGCCTATGTTTGAAACGAGCTAGCTACGGGGATGTATTTGGGCATTAATACAGGACGAAGCTTTTCAGCTCTTCCTTGCCCACCTTTGTCATTTTAGACTTTGTCCAAAGTCAAAAGTCTCCGGCAGGTATCTCTGACACTTCTTTCTTTTGCAGACAGGGTATGGAGAAGGGGGGGAATGGTGGGTTTAGGAGGCAGCATAGCTGCCGTAGGTAGCTGCCTTTTCTCTGCATTGTATTTCCCTTCCCCAGTCCCTTTTTTGCCTAAGAGCTAGCTTTGTCTGAACCCCTCGCTGCTAGGAGTCTGGCTGTCCTCATGCGAAGGAACCCAGACCCACTGACAACCCCAAAAAGGGTTCAGCTTTTTGGTAGCTAAACTGAATTTCAGGGTGAGGAGACATAATCAATGCTCAGGGCAGTGTGGCACGGTCCCACTGCTGTGAATGCTCTGCTCATGAGCCACCGTGGGACCAATGGTCCCATATTCCTCTCCTTCAGAACACCACAGCAGGTTTAACAGAACAATTCCTCTCCCTGTTAGCTCTTTCTAACATCCCTTTATCCCAGGGTCTCAGTGCCTAACTCCTCTGGTTCCTTTCCCACATCACTTCCAGCAGCTAGTTGAGTCGGTGACCATAGGACACTATTGAGTAACCTCAGCATCTCGTTCCCCTCAGCGTTATCACAGCACACCTTTTCCTTTATAACAGCCAGATTTCTTGTAAGTAGAAAACTCCTCATCTCTCTTAATGAGACTTAATACTTGAACATAATGATCACAATCAAGTTTGGAAATTAAAAAAAGAAAAGAAAAAATTAATAAAAAAACCCTAAATGCATTGATTCTTTCTATGTACACTGGCTAAAAACTATTGCTCTACACTGTAACTTTTAAGTGTAATATTTCTGTATGAATGTCGCCTGGTAGTGTGGGTTTGAGTAGCATTGTGTATGGGTGAACCCACTTGGCCTCTGCCATCCACTGGCCTCCCTCACAGCCCTTGGAAACAAACAAAGCCTTAAGTATTTGCTCCTTGAACTTTTCCTCCACGAGCATGGTTTCAAAGTAAAAAAACAACCCCTAATCTTTAAAAGACATCATACAAAAGTTAAAAACACAAAAAAAAAGAACAAAAAAAAAAAGAAGTGACCGGTTTTGAAGTGGCGTCCTAGTTGGCTAGAAATCCTTTCCAAGTTTTTTTGGGTAAATGGAGAAATTAGGAGATTTCTTTGTATTTTTTTTAAGTTAGACGTGTAGTCCCGGGCTGTAACAACTCCTTAGGTTTCAACGCTTAGCAGAGTACGTTTCCTGACTCCTTGCGTAAGTCAGTACACTTAGGGCATTACTGAAACCCCTTCAAGTGTGCTCTAACCCGTTCTTTAGTGGGAACTCTTAGCAAAGTGAAGCAATTTGACTAAAGACGGATTAAATTATGTGTCGGCTTGTGTTGCCTTATATTTAAAAAGAGAAAAGGAAGACTTGCCTGATTGTGTTATGCCAAATGATAGCAACATGAAGTCCTAATTTATTGTTTATAATCGTATTCCTGCAGTCTGTGTGGAAACTGGTAAATATACATCTATGGAAGAACTAAAACCCTGAGGCTTTTCATGCAATATTTCTCTCAATACATGATAGTGGAAGCCAAGGTTTGAGTCTGAAGCTGCTCCCCTTATGGTCTCCCCCCATCCTACCCCTCCTGAACCGATCTAGGGCTGTGCGATGACTTTAACCTGCTGACTTAGTTCTGCTACCTGAATCCTTTCCTTTTTACTAAATAAACTACTGGCATCTCCTCTGTTCAGTAGCCTGCTGCAAATCTCAACCCAGACTGTTATTAAAAGCTGATTTTTCTGCCTCCTGCTCTTCTCCTGTGAGAGAGAGACCGAGCGGAGTCCCGTGTCGTTGCTGTTTGTGGACGTGGTTTTGAGGCCTGGGAGGTGTTTGGGATCCTTCTGTTCTGGGATCGTTCCGCAGGGAGAGCTGTGACCTCTGAGACTTTGCCCCGGGGCAGCAGGACCGGGAAGCAAAACTATTCCTGAGATTCATCCAGGTGGGACATTGCTTGAAAAATGGGAATCATTTTACTATTAAAATATACTGAAATATTGCCTTTTGTTCTAGGAGTGACATTTTTCTTTTCAACCGACCTTTTCCCTTCGGCAGCATCCTGGTGCTGCCGGGCTCCTCCTTCCTTTTCCTTCCCCACCACATCCTCTGTAAAGAGGAACACAAACCATGGCCTGCCTCATTCCCAGGTGCCCCTTTTGGGATCCATCCCTGCCGCTGTCACTCCCAAAGGGAAGAGCACAGGAGGCTCAAGCCCGAGGCTGGTGGTCCAGTGCATGGCAGGAGCTGTGCTCTGCTGGAATCCCTTGTGCACACAGGGGTTTATTTCACACTGCCTGGTATAGAAGTAAAGAGAAGGGCCAGGGCCTTATCTTCACCCTGGGTTATCCCTGGTGCAGATTGGCACAAGCCTTTGGGCTCTGCACAATGCTCAGCTTGTCTCTGTCTTCCTGACCTCCAGCTTCGGGACAAGGCTTCTGTTCCCCTTATGGGTCCCTGGAGGTAACAGTTCTGCTCCTTGGGGAAAGAGTAAGGTGTTGCCACAGGTTTTCCTCGGCTGTTTCCATTGCCTCGTCATCACTGAAATCTTTCCCCTTTCCAGCACCACACTGCTTTAGCAGAACATCATTATTCTGATGGTTCCTCCAGCTGGAAGGGGACATTGCCTAGATCCCAAGAGGGATAAACATGGAAGCAGGGTAAACCCTTCCATGAGGAAGCTTCCATTTCTGACATACCTTTCCAGCAGAAGCTCTGGTGCTGTTCAATCCCAAACCTGCTTTGTTACAGCCCAAAGTTAACATTTTATAGACACTTGTGCATCTTCCTTAAGCTTTACAATATGAAACCTCATGTCCATGGGAGTCAGTCGCTCCCATAGGAACCGAACGGGAATGTTTGCTGGGGAGAGAACTGGGAATTGGTGCTGGGTTTGATTAAACCACAGGCTGCTTATAAACACTGCTGCCTGTGTGCTATGGGTCCAGCCACAATTCCTGCTTGTCTGCAGGGAAAACAGAGAGACCTGGTCCCTCTGCCCCTAGGGCTGCTGAAGCCGGACTGAGAGTGACTGCCCTTCGAAGTGCTGACCTACCCGTGTGTGTCCTGAGCTCAGTTCTGCTTCTTAACATCATTCCAAATCATAAAGGGGCTTCAGTACATTTGTAGACCCGTTCTGAAGAGACCCCTGTGCAGCTCTGGGAGGCTTTCTCCCCTCTGTAGTGGTTGCACATCTAACTTAATCTATGCTTTCATCCCAGAATGACACAGCAGCTCAAACCCATCCCTATGTGCTGGAGTGGCAAAATCAGACACCAAGCTAGCACCTTTCACACTGTTCCCACTTTTCCCAGATAATAGAGATGTATTCCACGTGATTTTGGGGTAAATCAGGCAGCTTCGAGCAGCCACCCATCCATCTGCCCCCCATGCAGAGACGGAGCTTCGGAATCCTCTATCCTGCAATCACTGGAGCATCTTTGGTAGCATCTCGGGTAGCATCTTCATCTGTCCCCCCAGTAGGAATCGTCTTTGCAGGCAGTTAGGCCTGTTAACTGGAGCAATAATGAGCCAGTGGGGACTCCTGTGTCAGCAGAGGTACCTGCAGCCGTAACTAAGCTAAGGCCTCTGGCATACAACAGAGTAAGATCCAACCTTTTAAAGCTTCTCCCTTAGGGCCAAACAGGGTTTCCTTCAAAGATTTAATGGCTGTGTTTGGTTTTTCCCCTACACCGAGCTCCCTGTACCACAGCAGGCGTTAGAAGGATGCGGACATAGAGGAGTCAGCATCACCCCGAGATGTTCTGTGCCAAAACCCAGCAGCACATTGCCTTGTGATGGAGAGGGGCTAAAGAGAGCTCCTGCTCAATGAGGAGGAGCCACAGGAAAGGGGCACGGTGAAATCAGCTCCTCAGGACTTGGCTGGGGGAGCTTGTGTTGGGCATCAGCCACCTTGGGATGCTCTTCCAATGTTCAACAAGGCCACATGGCAATAAAATGACTGGAGTATTTAATCTCTAATCTCTAATAAACTTCAGTTTATTTAATCTCTAATAATCTCTTTATTTAATCTCTAATAATCTAATCTCTAATAAACTTCATTTCCAGGCAATCGGGTACAAAGCATTGACTCAGATGGCCTCATCGATGAAATCACACCAGGGTTTAACCCGGATAAACCCCTTCTCCTTCACCACCCTCAAACCCCTTGGTCCTGGGGAGGGGGGGACCCCAGCGGGGTGTTTAATAAAGGATGTGAAAGCAAATTGCTCTTGTGTTTTTCTCCTGATATTAGTGTTAATGTCTGGTTTTGCATCTTGGCAAAGAGTGGCAATAATTGGCACGAATCAGGGCTCTACATCTACATCCAGAAGAGCAGCAGACGCAGTGGGTTTTGCCAGAAACTCTCCCTATATCTATATACCAGAGGTTCTGTAAGGTGTGAGAAGGAGTTGGTGTTTAGTTAAATAGGAGCATCTCACTGTGGTCCTTCGATTTCCATGGTAGTTAATGACACTTTCCCCACTGGCCTGAGCATCTTGTGTAATACTCGCCGTGCTGGCCCAGGGACCATGCTGAAAGCTGCTGGGCCTTTAGAGTAAACCTTCAAGCCAACGACTTCGCAGGAAGCTTATTTTTAAACTCGAAATTTGAGGCTAAATTTAGGAACAAATCCATTTGATCGCTCCCTCTCCCCCATGGATATTAAGAGCATCCCCTCCTCCTGCTCTGCAGACTGCAAGGGAATTGCTCCAAACACGTGAAGGTTAAGAGGTGCTTCAAGATCCGGTTGACATTTCCAGCCAGGCACCGCACAGGAGACGTGGCTCTGACTGCGACGTGCTGGGATAAACGGGAGCTGTGCGGTGGTGCTCAACGGAGCTACTGGAGAGCGGCACCTGATGGCAAACAGCGCGTTAGTGACTGGGGAGGGGAAAGAAAAGGGAATAAACCCCAAGCAGGGGAAGCGGAGGGATGGATCCAGGGCTTGGAGCAGCTCTCGGCTCCCTGGGGTTGGTTTTGTCCCCTCGGATGGGCTTTGGATGAGCACAGCCAGGAGGTGCTGCACAGGCTCAGCCAACAGCACTGCCCACAATAGCTTTAGGTCATAAAGCCTTTAGGTCACAAATAACTGTAGGGGGGGGGTCTTCATTATTATTATTATTTATAATATAATTATAATATAATTATAATATATCATACATATATATTACTATATTATACATAATTATTAAATAACTGTAATACTATATTGTAATAATAATATACTATATTGTAATAATAATAATAATAGTAGTAATAATAATTGCAGTGCACAAGGGGCTGCCAACACCCTGCTGTGGTGGATGAATGGGACAGCTCCTATACAGTGTGTGTGCATATATATGTAAATATATGTATGTATGTCTATACATATATGTATGTGTGTGCATCGATATATATGAATTATATAATACATAACAAAATAAAATACAACCTATCAATGTACATGTAGAGGTATGGGATGATGTGCTCGCCCTCACCTAGGATGAGGGGGGATGCCCTCATACAGCGGGGTGAGGGTCTGCAGGAGACAAAACCTGATGGGAACGGGCCCGAGTGCGGCGCTTGGGGTGAAACCAAAAGAGACCGCGAGGCGGCGCCACCGAGTCGGGCACTGGGCGGAAGGCGGTGGAGTGAGGACGGGGAGCGCGGTGCGGGGTGATGCTGCTGGGCACCGAAATGGGCTGGATCTGAGCACCGAAATGGGCTGATGCTGGGCACCAGAACGGGCTCATTCTGGGCTACAGAGTGAACTGATGCTGGACACCAGAACGGGCTGATTCTGAGCGTCAGAATGGGCTCATTCTGGGCTACAGAGTGAACTGATGCTGGGCACCAGAACGGGCTGATTCTGAGCGTCAGAATGGGGTACAACACGGGCTGATGATGGAAGGGGGGAGGACGGACACGAGGTATGGGCACACCCCAGCAGCGCTACCCCCCCTCCGCGGGTGCAGCTAATTAGGCGCTAATTACATTAAGCCGGAGCAGCGCTAATGCAATTGTGGGATTAGGCTGCAGAGATGACACCCCCATTGCCGCTGGGGTAATGGGGGGGACGGGGTGGGACACCACATCCCTGAGACCCCCCTAAAACACCCCTCCGTTATCCACCCCCTTGTACTGAGTCCCTGCTCTCCGCAAGGGTGGAATTGGCTTGGCTGGGGCGGGGGGGGTTGGGGGACACCCCAGGGTGATGACACCCCCAGCACATCCCATTGCTGGTGATTACTGAGTTATCCATCTCCATCTGACCCGTCTGCTGCCGGGATGTGGGTCAGGGATTACCCCCCTCTGAGCCCCCCAATGGCTGCACCATGAGCACCCCATTGAGGGGAGGGGAGCACACAGGGGTCCCCCCATCCTTGCCCAGGCAGAGGAAGGAGCTTCAATCGGCCATAATAAATACAAGAGGCGTTTATTGACCGAAACCAAGAGGCGGGGAGGGGGGGCCCGGGGTAATAAATAACAACCGTGCTCCCGGGGGGCACCAGCTTACAAAATATGGCTCTGGGCAGGGGGTCCCCATGGAGACCGGGCACCCCATGAGGGACTTGGGGGTCCCAGCCCCCCAGCACCCCCCCAAGCACCTGCAAAGGGGCTGCAGCAGGGTCCCAGCCCTGGGATGGACACAGGGAAAAGAAGCAGCCCCATCCCTGCCCACCCAAGCAGCAGGCAGGGGGCTCAGCACCAAATGGGGCACCCCATGGCGAGTGCCCAACTCATGTCACGGAGCACCAAGGGGCTCAGGCCAGGATCTTCTGGGGTATCTCCACCGAGGCTTTGATGAAGATGGCGTTATCCCGCACGTAGTTCCGCTTCTTGATGTCCTCGTGGGAGATGAACTTGGGGTACCCGAATCCCAGGGTGCTCTCGTCCAGGGAGCTGCGCGACGCTCCCGGCTTCTGGAAGTTCTTCCAGTTGGGATCGGGGTGGAAGGTCTCGGTGATGTGCTGGGGCTTGGAGAGCGAAGGGTCGCTCTGGTCCAGCAGGGAGAAG